TGGACTTTTTATGTATAAATCTAACAACAGCATTGAACGACAGCGCCTCTGCCGTCTGTAGTCGCAAGCTTTTAGCGGAACAAATTGCGCCATAAGAGTTGCACATGCATGCACTGTGCCCTGTCGCCGTCAAGATCGCCGTTCTTGAATATTTTGACAGAATAGGTGCCTCGCAAATTAAATGTTCCATATTTTGGCAATAAACCTATGTGTATCTTCGACCAGCGCGCGGTTCCCACTTTGGAAAGCTCAGCATTTACTACGTCGAGCTCAGCAGCTTCATTATTCTTTGGTTGAATGATATCTTTTCAACCTATCGATGGGAAGGAACGTTACTTACTCCAATGTATCTGAGTGGGATTTTGAGGGTCATTGATGAAGATGTCTTCATTCTTGAAAGTCTGTTAAGGAATTCCTTCGATTTGGATTATTTTGCCAGATATTCAGGCTTATGATGTATCTTCTCCTGTTATTGTAACAGCCATATCAGATAATTCAACGTTGCTGCTAGAATAACAGAAAAATTTCAGGCCTGATTGTATGCCTAGATGTTTCCTGGTGATCAACGGAAGCACGTTTTAATCACTGACCAGTGCTGTTTGATATCATGGGGATATTCAGCAGACAATTTCTCATTCAACAGGAACTAAAAGGTTGTTTCAATCAATGTGATGTTGCTTGTAGAGTCATTACAATTCGGACCATTAGGTAGTCAGTCCAGTAGATATTAGCATGGATGGATAGCTTTGGTTGCTCCTAGGCCACGTTGGTGTTTAGAGCGCACAGTAACGTAATTGATGAGATGCCAGTGTTTTGATCTTGGATGTTGCCAATTTGTTTTAAGCCTATTCTTTTGACGATAGAGAGTATTTGTGGGGACCAGCTCATGCTCTGAATATTTGGTCATTACAATTAGACTCTCCAAACCACGTGATTTTTCAATATGGCGACTGAGGAAAATTTGACGTTTGTTTGTTTATCTTAAGATTATTGTTTAATATACTTTTTGAGATGTAGAGTGAATATTTAAAGACTTTAATGAAGGAAAATCGGGATGTGGGCGAACGATAAGTTTAAAAAAATGTCTAGTTTACATTTGTTTACATTTTGACCTAGTAATTAGATTTTTACAAGTATTTCGAGTATGGCTTTATTTCAGATGTAGGAACAGTGGTACTGAATAATTTTTACGTTCTAATTGGAAAAATTTGAAAAGTTGGGTCCTGAAAACAACCTGACATCATCCTTGTTGAAACGCGTTCTAAAATCAACTACAAAACACCTTTGTGGTATTTTTAATTAGAGAAAAGCCTTATGAAGTCAATAAAATAAAAAAATAAATAGGGTTTAGTCACAAAACAACCACACAATGCACTTTAAGAAGCTTCAAATTCTATACTGTCATATACGGAATAAGGAACTTCCGCCCCGAACGCTATTTTGGAATAGTTTTGACAGGTCGTTGGAATGCCTAATAGGCTCGTTCAATAAAAAAATTTAACGCGGTTTTCACATTTTTATGGAGTATTACTCACATATAGCACATAAAAAAAAATGTCAGCTCAATTGGATAAATATTAGAAAAGTAACGTGTTTTTTAATATTCAAACAGTTATGCCTCGGAAATTCATTGCTGTGACGTCATTGCATCTCTCGAGTCGAGACAGGCTAAAGGCCGTCATACAAGGTTTTGCATAACGTAATGTCAACTGATTTTCTATTGACAGTTTGACACACAGCTTGCGAAACTATACAATATTTTAAATTTTTCTTTTTGCATGCTACTTCCATAATTGTGCTTATAAAATATTGGAACTCAGGGAATTATTCAAATATACGAAATGTGATTTGGAAGAAAAACATCAAACCTCTACGATACATAAAATGCCAAACTAAAACTTGTCTAAACGATGCCAAACCAAAATTTGTCGAAACAATTCCCGTATTGTCGAAGTGACTGTCGTACCAGCACCGCAACGACCGACGTGAGAGATGCAGTGACGTCACCGCGTGTTTCAAATTTGTAGTACTTTGATAATTTATTTAAATATGAACAAGGGCTCAGAAAATTATGAAATTTTGCACAACTGCTAAACTCAACACGCTCTTTAAGAATATGTAATAAAAAACATATGCTGTACGAGCCTATTATCGAGTCTGCCCAGATGGCACAGTACCTGCACTACCTGCTGACGAAAGCATGTCAAAAATTCGCATATTTAACAGCAATATTATGCCTGTGTAAGAATGTAAGACATGGAAGTTATCGTAACGCCTCATCAATTAAACTAAGGGGTCCCTCAATTGACCTATCTTTTTTTACCTTGACTGCGCACGCAACTCGTGGGCTGCAGGTGAGCGTCCAATGAGAAGCAAGTTTGTTACGGGCTTGCGTCATATTCTTATTGAGGGGCCAGTTCAGAATTAATCGTTCCTTCTTTCTCTGTAACGTGTTATTCGACAAAGAGCAAGCTAATACTTTACGTATTACTTCTGAACTCACCGCAGTGTTGTTTAAAATTATGTCAGATTATACTTGACATATTCCTTTGGACTTTCATTTTACGATGTTGCCGGATGAAACATTTATCAAAATAAAAGTGCAAACGATGTTAACATACACTTTAAAGCTCTTCTTTTTCTGATTTAAGGCGTTGTAAAACACTTGAAACTATATCACTTCTTTGATGTTATAATGTTTGATTTGTATTGTCTACATTTGTTCTGTAACAATACAAACTGGCTACACTGCAACCCACTAGTTGCGCGCGCATGTCATCTTTTATTACTTCCCAACTTGTATTTATTACAATTAAGCTATCCTTTTCTAATTATGCGAAACAGGTCAATTATATCTACCTATTCACTTTCTTTTTGTAGAATAGGTGGCTATGAAAATTTGGGGAGATAAGGTCAGGTGATATCTATATAAACAAAAAATACCTAACAAGGTTTCATTTGTGCAAATTTTGTCATAATGTTAACCAGAATGCCGAATGTTAAGTGTCATTTACATCCATTTAACTTAACTCAACGTACGGAAAATTATACTTAAATAACGTAGGTAGGTACTACGAAACTGGGAAGGTGTGTGCTCACAATGAAGTTAATTTTCCTACGTGTAATCACAGACTAGTTCAATCTGTCATCAAAATTATTATTGAAATTAACGCACGGATTTCCTTGAATTGAAGTTGGTTCAACTTTTCCGTGCGTGTTACGTTGATTCTCTTAATTTTTGAGTAAATGTTAACAACTAAATATAAGTACCTGATCTACAACTTTCCTTTATTATTAATTTTCCGAACATTAAGCTGAGTGGATGTATATGACCTTTAGTCTTTGTATTAAATATACAAAGAAATTTATACTAAAGTCTGTCTCATAATTAAATATTAAAGTCAAAATGACATTATGTTGGTGTTACTCCATGCTCTCTCCATGGTTTCATTTTTGAATAGTAGATTTACCATAATAATAATTGGCAGGCATGGACTAATTTTAATTTAGTTCAGTAACCTTTCTGAATAGTTAGCAATTTACTCAAAACATGGCAACTAGGTACCAATCTTGAAATTGTACATATAAGGAGTAATGTTTCATTTAGAAAATAAACGTAATGAGTGATTAATGAAACCTATTCACTATAAGTAGAAAAATTTGATTTGACTTTGTTTTGTTAAGCTAATATCTTTGTAGTCAAAGGGTTATGCATTAGGGAAGTGCACGAGGATCTTCATGACCATCATTCAAACAATTTTACAGAAAAAGCTATAGCTGTCCAAACCATATTAGTTGTTTTTTTTTTTTTTGCTGATATCGTCTGTAATATACTTTCGGAGCGTTTAAGTTTGATTTTTGAAGGTGTTTGGCGCATCTATTGATTTGTTGTTTGGTTTCTGTAATAATTTGATAATTTATTATCAATTCAGACATACTTCCAGTATAGTTCAAGGTTTTGAAAATTTGCTCTGACAGTGTCGAAACAGTTTTCTTGTCATTTTGAAAAACAATGCTGCCACATCATTTTAGGTCTTTAATGACCGCCTATTCCAAAAAAAAAGATAGTGAATAGTGCATATATGTATTCACATCTTCTAGAGAAACAGGCAGCAGCTGAATCCTGGAGAAGACAAAAAAAAATAAAAAACTTTCAAGGAAGACCAAAACACACTCTATCGCTGCTGAAGCTCATGGAGTTGATTGAATCTGCGCATCTTGCGGAATGATGGACATAATAATATATAAGTAGAGAGAATAGTATATTAAAATACAAGTTGCAGAAGGCCACATATTCCCGCACGAATTCGAAATTTGGCCACGAGCGACGAAGGAGTGAGTGGACGAACGAATGAGTGCGAGAATAGCCTTCTGCAACGTGTGTTTTATACTATTTTCTCGATTTTGGATTTTATTTTTTATTTTTTAAAATTTTTTTGTGAACGCTGTTAGTTGGGGATTTTTTATTTTCAAAATATGTCAGTTGGTGACACTTACATACCAACCAACCCAACTGACAGGTGGATTCTATCATTTTAGAAGGTTTGACAATTTTGAAGGTACCAATAGGTATACTTTGAAAACTAAATGTCACTAAAAATCGTTGAAGAATGAGCTTCATTCTTCAACGATTTTGTGTGCGGGAATAATGACATTCTCACATCAAAATCGAGAACAAGATTTACTTAAGTATATTATGATAATTTCCTACAGATTGAGTTTTAAGGGGCTCAAAGAACCACCATCAAATTTATTAATTTCCTTAGATCTTTTCTTCCCAAGAAAATTAATAATAATTATAATATAATGCAGTTGGGTATATTAAAATAATTGCAGCTTTTTTAATTTGAACCTACAGCAACTTTACTAATTCATACTAACACGCCTTTTAGATTTCCGTCAGATAAATTGTTAACTTTCAAAGTATGGCTTTTGAAGCATTATTATTATGCGTCTTTCTCCCTTCATTTCGCGTGACATGCAATGTTAATATAACTTACGTTAATGACCCAATCCTTGGGATTATGTGCGTTTGTTCCACAAACGTATAATCTGTCTCCGTTGCCCATAGATTGAATGACTCGTATGTGGTTCCGGCAATCGAAATGCTGAAAAAAGAATAAAAGTTTTTTAATTAAATTCAACGGTCAAAAATAATCTGGTTATAAAAGCTGAAAATATCTAAGCCAAGAATAAAGACGCTTTTATCCCCTAATATTTACCATCTGGAGAACTAGAGAGGGTTATTAGATTATTACTTGGCGACAAGTATAATTTGTCAGATATAAAAGGATTTAGGATAGATGCGATTCGAGGCGATGAAAAGTCTCCCCTTAGGCTAAGATAGGATTAGAAGACGAGATATTACTTTATGAAATTAGTCGTGAAATATCTCGTAAAGTTATCGAAATTGGTAATAATCTATAATATCCAAAGGAAATGTTTGCTACGAAAGCAAATATTTTCACTGGAATTATGCTACAAAAATAATAAAACGTTTCGACAACTATTTTGCAATGCCCATTAGCAAAGAGAACCACTTTTAAAAAGCTAAATTAAATCTTAAAGAGTCCTCGAAAACTAGTTTTTAAGTCGTTTCCTTTTCGAGTACATTTACTGTTCCAAAAACCCTTTAGATATTAACGAGTTCCAATTCGACGGCTTCTATGTCAAAAGCCTTATTTTGGAAACACTGGGCGTCGTTGCAAGGACACTTTCGCTACTTAGGCAAGCGTTCCTCGAAATTAGAGGTTTTAAAAAGAAAGTTGGCGAATAAATTATTTTCTTATTAGCCCAATTAACCCATAGTGGGGGATGAATAGGCTGGTTATAATCGCCCTTTAAAGTGACAGTCTACGAAAAATACATTTTAAATAAATAATAAATTATCATTTATTTATCTATTACAAATGTTCTAAGAAATAGAATAACAAAAGCAAAATTTCAACAAATACGAAAATCCTAACCTTCATTCGATAGACACCTATGTCCAGAACAAGTCAAAAATTTAAAAATAAAAATGAAGATTTGACCTATTTTAATGACATGTGAATAAATATATCTAAGACGCCTTCTATTAGCAAAATCTAAAAAAATCACGCTTCCGTCCTTTGTGAGGTCTTGACCTAAACATACTATGGGTCCTACTCAAATATAGAGGAAGTCGTCAACAATAGATAATAAAATCAACGTCACAATCACAAACGAGTGCTCCCGATGGTCAGCAGCATGTAATTCGCCAATTTCATCGGCTATCGACTACTACATCGGACCCCTTTCGAGAGAAAAAAGTTAACTTTTTCGAGCTTGTAAGAAGTTGCCCCCATGGGGAATCGATTCCGCTGGAATATCTACGCGACCGGGGGGGTTAACGGCTACTCTGGATCTACTAGGTGGTCCAATAAATCAGCCACACTTTATTATCTAATCCTTATCTCGGACAATATCGGGAAAGTTTTACACGATGTTTGTTTTATTTTTTAGTGCACTAAGAAACTAGAATTTTGGCCGACAAAACAATAAAGTGATTTAAGAGTAGGTACCTGTATATTGAAAATATTATGGAAAATTGCTTGAAAAAGTTTTTTGGTTCCAAAATGGCATATCTGGGAGACGTTTGCACATCATCTACAATTAATTGAATATTAAGTTGTCATATCTTCCTATATCTTTTTAAACATTTTTTTGAATACGTATACAGTATGCAACATATGGAGATTTTTTTTAGTAATAGCAGAACCCAAATACAAACAAGGCCAAAAGTTGGTGCATGTCTGATAATCATATTAGGTGCACTTAGGATGGTTGCAAGTCAAACAGCATACAGGGTAGCTCAAACAATATCAAAGCTGTACTGTAAAGTAGGTACCCTTATTTTGGAAAATTCAGCAAATTGTTATTGAGAAAAGTTGTTTGGAATTAAAAGTTATTCCTAAATACCAAAACATAGCCTCCTAAGATTTTTTTTTATTTTCTTTCGAAAAAAATCTATCATTTCTTTATTTTTTTAAATTTTTATTTCCACCATTAATACTTTCAAAAATTAATCAAAATCAAATCAATTTTACATAACTTTGTTCAAATTCAAGCATATTTGTAAAATTAACTTAGATTTTTAATTTTTTATGGAATCACAAAATTCATGTTTGTTGCAATGATATAGAGTCCGTCCATAAACTACAGTGGCGCCCTCTTTCGACAGCAACGTAAGTTCTTGTATTATGTCAAGTGCTTGATTCCATTTACACAAATGTAATTTTTCTTATAAAAAACGATTTCAAAGCGAAATATATTTCATTATAAAGGTATGGTTGTTTACACGAAACAATTATATTTAATTACACTTTTTTTCTTGTAATTTTTATTTGCCAAACACTTTTTATTATCATTAATTCAGGCTATTGTGCATACCCACTACTTGTCATGCCAGGAACAGTTTCACAAATTGTTGTGTTGTTAACTGTGGCAATAATTATGCCAACACAAGTTAGTCTGTGACACGACCCGCCGGAAATATCTTCCAACAAATTATTAACAAACTGAAGAAAACGTAATACTACCCCCATCGAGTTATTCCCTAAGTAGGGTATCAGATTAAAGGTCTCGATGTCCTCTATCTAAAAAGTCCATCCTGCCTCGTGAGAACTTGCCGGAAAAAGGTGGCAGGGCAGCTTATTGGGGCAAAGGCTCGGGGTCTCAACTTTGACACCTATCAAGTTTCGCACTGAATGATGTGTCAAATTAAAGTTGTCAATAAGTTGATTTAAGGTCTGTTCGCACAGAAATCACAAACCAGTCGCGGCGAATTTTATTAAAGCAATGAACTATAAACTACACGTACCTGGAATGGCACCGACCGTTGTCGGATATGGCATTTGTATGGCATTTGTCATCTCTCTTAGGGCCGGTATTATAAAACACTGAACCGATGGTTGAGTTTCCACCTTCGGTTGAATCCTATCAATTTGCATGGAGTCAACCGAAGGTTGAAACTCAACCATCGGTTCAGTGTTTTATAATACCGGCCCTTAGTGCGTCCAAAGAAAGCTATCTAGTGGGGGCAATGAACTATAACACAGAGCATATAACCTTTGGAAACGACAACAAACCGCTCAAAACCACACAGAATTTATAGAAGCCAGAAATAGTTGCAAAGTTACTATTGACTCCGCTAAAGAAACATACAATCAAAGAATAAAAAACAGGTTGCTGAATTGTCCAAGTAGTTCTAGGTCCTTTTGGTCTCTTGCAAAAGCTGTTGGATCTAACTTCACCAAGTCATCCATACCACCACTTACAGATAAAAATAATCACTTAGCCACAACATCAGAGGAAAAAGCCAATATGCTGGCCCAAATGTTTTCCTCCAACTCCAACCTAACAGTGCCAAACGGAAAAACTCCACCGTTCATTGAAAGGGTTTCCCATAGTATGCCAGAGGTACCCTTTTGTCACAGAGAAATACGAAAATCCCTTAAAAAGCTAGATACAAACAAAGCAATGGGTCCGGATGGCATTCCCGCAATAGTACTCAAAAATTGCGCCAACGAACTCACCCCAACTTTCGCAAAATTATTCAATTTGTCTTACAGGCAAGGAGTATATCCATCATCATGGAAGTCTGCCGCAGTACAACCCATTCCAAAGAAAGGAAAAAAGACAGATGCGTTAAACTATAGACCAATCGCTCTACTTCCGGTGATATCAAAAGTAATGGAAAGAGTTGTGAACAATCACCTAACCAAGTACTTGGAAAAGTACAAAATTATCAACGATAAGCAATACGGATTTCGAAAATATAGGTCAACTGGCGATTTACTTACATACGTCACTCACTTATGGCAAAAATCGATTGAGTTGCGGGGTGAAACAAGAACAATTGCCTTAGATATATCTAAAGCATTCGACAAAGTTTGGCATGAAAATCTGCTCAACAAGCTCAAAGCAATGGGATTATCGCCGAAACTTTGCACTTGGTTTGAAAGTTACCTAAAGGACAGATCCATTTATGTTGCACTGGATGGCCAGAACTCCAACTCTTACCAAATAAATGCTGGTGTGCCACAGGGAGCAATCCTTTCGCCAACTCTTTTCCTGATTTACATAAATGACCTCATAGATAAAACAGTAAATCCACTTTATTGCTTTGCAGACGATGGCAATGTAGTCTCCTCACTCATACCACCCACAGGTCTTTCCGCATGTGAATTCCATCATCTTAGACTAACTCAAATATCGCAGATAAATAACGACCTGGAGATAATAGAGGACTGGGGTAACAAAAACCTTATACAGTTCAACGCGCAGAAAACCCAAGCAGCTCTGTTTTCAAAAAAGACCAGCACCGGTGAGCCAAACATCATGCTATCTGGAAGCGCTGTCACATTAAAGAGGCAGTTGAACATCTTGGGGGTTACTGCAGAGACCAACATCTCTTGGCACAGTCACGTGGCAGATATTGCTAAAAGGGCCTCCCAAAAGCTGGGGGTGCTATTTCGTACAAGACATCTGTACACACCAAGCCAATTGCTGACACTCTACAAAGCCCAGATTCGACCAACTATGGAGTACTGCTCACATATATGGAGTGCAGCACCCAAACATACCTTAATGCTTTTGAACACCGTGCAAAAACGAGCTATCAAGCTGATCAATGATCCCGCACTTACTCGTAACTTGGATGATCTCGAACATCGCAGATCTGTGGGCGATTTATCTCTCTTCTACAGGTACTATCACGGAAAATGCTCTGAAGAGTTGGCACGTATGATTCCACCGAGAGTAGCACCTACCAGGCGAACCCGTCAAAAAGACGGTAACCATGAATTTACTGTCAAACTAGAGGCACCAAGAACCTCATTATATCAGAATTCATATCTCTGGAGAACAGCATCGCTGTGGAATAAACTCCCTGCGACGGTTTTCCCTGCACCGTTTCAAGACCAACATACACCGACATTTCCGCGCACTTGCCGCTTCTCGAGCGTGATAGGACATTTCCTTGCGAGTGCGCATATCCGTAAAAAAAAAAAAAAAAAACAAAAACTGGAATGCGAACACATAAGGACGAACGTGAAGCCTAGTGCGGCTGCTGCGGAGGGGATACCTG